GGGGCAACATAGAAATAAATGTACTACATTCCACAATGTTATCACTGATGGAGTAACATAGAAATAAATGTACTACATTCCGCAATGTTATCACTGATGGGGCAACATAGAAATAAATGTACTACATTCCACAATGTTATCACTGATGGGGCAACATAGAAATAAATGTACTACATTCCACAATGTTATCACTGATGGAGTAACATAGAAATAAATGTACTACATTCCACAATGTTACCACTGATGGAGTAACATAGAAATAAATGTTACATTTCACCATGTTATGATATTATTGCCTGTCTAGGAACAACGCATTATATTTTTCAGATCGTGAAAAGTAAGGAAATGTACTGTTAGAATACAAAAGTATATGTTTTACGTTAATCTCAATACAAACATGATTCTAATAGATGATTTAACATATCACATAACAACTACTTTGTTTGCCTACCAACAGTTTGAGGGGTTAGCTAGAGAGCCCCCACTGGAGGTTCCTTGCATAAATGCGCAAAATCCCCCACATTTCCGAGTTTTTACCTCAGTTTGACAAATAAGTTGAAACAAATGGAAATAAAACTGTTCATGAAACATCATAAAATCACTTATATATTTATATATGTTGTCATCATTCTCATGATCAATTTTGGTGTTGCTGTTTTTTTTTTAAAAAAAACTCTGGACACCGTTAAAGAATGCCATTCACTGCATAATAATCATTGAGTTTTAATTCTAAAATTCATTTTAATATGTGACGTATGGAAACCAGACACTTTTTTTTTTACATTTCATTACACTGTTCCTAGTTTTTATAACATATGTATCGATGCATTTTATCATCAGTAAAAATTAATCGAGCAGTTTCTAACGCGTATTTGATACAAGTGGAAATTAAGACACATTTTTTAAAACACTACTCGTTGTTAAGGGTTTCTTAGCTCAATAATCAATCTCAATAAAACTCAAACGCATGCGCGTATAAACGTAAATTTTTGAACAATCTAGTCATTTTTAACCGTATACTAAGCCAGAAAAATTATCTGCTTAGTCTTTTCCCAACATCTGTGATGAGAAGAATCGCTTGTCTTACACGTTTCGTAATTAACCAACGTTTGCATATCCTTAGCTATAAAATTAAACCTAGAATATGACATTTTTATTTTTGACAGCCTATGGAAACCGATTCTGCGCTATAAGCCAACGTTTGTGATTAAGGAACAGGAAACGTGAGAATGGTTTAATGCCAACGGAACTTTAGTGGGAGGTGTCAGAATACTAGAGAGAAGAGGTGAAGCTGGTGTTTCTTCTGAAATTCCTAGAGCACTTCAGATAACGGAAATGCGACGCCACTCCTAAATATCTAAAGTCATGGGATGTGTTATGTCGTTGTTTTGTTAAAGCAAAGTTTATAACCAATCAAAAGTCATTCCTGTCATACCACTGCAAGGTGCAGGTGCTTGTAATCATGTTTAGTTATTAACAAACTAAAAAAAAAAACTGGATAAATGAAAGATGGATTAAAATCCATCAGTTCTGGTACTTGAAGATAACTCCAAGCTTCTCCATCGATGTTTGTACCATTTTGTATCACGTGTTTATAGCGACAGTCATTACAATGCTGTGTGCCCTAACATTGCTGTATTGTTTCGCAGTTGTGTTAACTCAATCATGTATTCCTGCTCCTGCTTCGTTAAGCATCACATGTGAATGCAGTCATCTTGACGATTCGATTAAATGTTCTGGATCAATTGGAAACAACAAAACATTGATATTTGCCTACATCACTGATATTCTGAAATCTGTTCCCGCAAAAGAAATTGTTATTGATGTCAACGGCATTGACACTGTCCCTCCACGATTTTTCAAGAACTATTCCCTAAATCTTGTATCCATTATTACAAATACTATATCAAATTTGCCACAAGATGTGTTCTTCGGTGTCAACACGTCGCTGAAACTACTTAGTCTACGACAGAACCACTTCGTCCGTGTTCCATCGGCCGCTCTAAAAAATTTACGCCATCTATTGGAGCTAGATTTATCCAATAATTTTATCGCCAACGTGGAATCTAATGACCTTGCCGAAATGCCAAACCTACTTGTTTTAATTCTTAGTCATAACGAAATCAGCGCCATTGAGCGTGGTGCTTTCCAATCTTTAAGTCTGCTCCAAGAGCTCTATCTGGAATACAACACGATATCGGCTCTCCGTCATGACATGTTTCTGGGATTGGCAAAGCTTGGTTTCTTGAGTTTATCTGCTAATAAGTTAAACATATTATCGGCTAATGTGTTCACACACCTAAAGAACATCGAATACGTTGAAATGGACCACAATTATCTTTTTTTAATGGAGAATGTAAAAATTGAGTCTTCAAGCGTTTTGATGATTACAATGCAAAACAACAGTTTAGGAGGACAACTGGATGAAGATTCTTTTCGCGGTATGCCAAATTTGTTACTCCTAAACTTGGGTTATAATAACTTGGAAAAATTAGCAACGAACTCATTAACAAAGCTCTCTCAACTTCAGGAGCTATACCTGAACAACAATAATATCAGGATGATCTTGGACCATGCTTTCTCAAAGTTGTGGAATTTACGTACATTACAGCTTGAAAATAATGAGATTCGAAACCTACCCTTCACAGCTTTCTCTAATCTTACCTCTCTACGTAACTTAATATTGAAGAACAATCGATTAGAAAGACTGACATGTGAACATACAGCCGATCTACTCAATTTAGTTAGAGTGAACCTGAACTCCAACAACTTAAAAAATGTATCAGCAGGAACGTTTTCATACAGCCCTAACTTAAAAGAAATAAGCGTCAAAGGTAAGATTACTCTGTCTTTACAAAGCTAGAATATATATTGTTACACGTAAGTAATGTTTTTTTTATAGAGGTTGAGTAATTCAAAAAGTGTTACAACCTACATTATCGGATCCCGTTTGCTGTGCCGCAGACGTTTCTGCTTTTTTACTGTTTGATTCCTCTTTGGCTAATTATCAAATCTAATGTACATTTGAATCATTATATTGGGCATTAAGTGACTTTAACACTTGGTATGATTTAGTTTCTGCGTTTAAAACAAATTTTCAAAGTCCTACACTAAATTCATTTAATTATTTGAGCTGAAACGCAATTAAGGGTTTTTGACAGCATTTCAATTACTTTTAAGAACTAAACAATAAATTGTGCGAACTTTACAAATTTATTTTGACTTGTAAAGTTGAAATCCCCCTCAAATTGTATTTCAGCTTTTATTAACTACTGGCAGCGTTGCCCGGGTTTTTGGGAGGAAAAAAAACCTAATCTTCTCTGTTTCCCCGTTTCATATTTCGATATTGAAAAAAAATATTTTGTGAATTTATGAAAAGCAAAAATAAAAACAACAACCTTAAGTTTGATTTTTGAAAATAAACTACGAACCTGTTTTAAATCGGGGCTTCCTTATGAAAGATATTTTTCGCCTTTCCTTCACTGCCAAAGATAAATAGGCCCTTAATGTTCCCTTATTAACTATGCTGAGATATTTTTCGCCTTTCCTTCACTGCCAAAGATAAATAGGCCCTTATTGCTAGATAAATAGGCCCTTATTGTTCCCTTATTAACTATGCTGAGATATTTTTCGCCTTTCTTTCACTGCCAAAAATAAATAGGCCCTTATTGTTCCCTTATTAACTATGCTGAGATATTTTTCGC